AAGGCTATTCCTCCTTGAGTTTATCAGATTAGGTCACTTCTTAATGTCTGAAATGCACTAAAGCCTCCTTAGACAAAGCCCTGTATTTATGAAGCAGACTTTTTCCAGAGCCAAGTAAGTAACAGGTTTGATATTATTTCTTCAAAATACTAGCAGCAATTGAATTGTTTCATAGGCTTATATTACCTGCCAATTTTCCTTTGTTTGAACTAAGGTTGTTTTATAATTATTTCAAGGGGATAAAAATTGTTCCCAGGCTGAAAGTCAGTGTGCCAAGTTACAGCCCAGAGCAGACTTTTATCAATAAACTTTATGCAAACCTGAAAAAACAAGTTTACAATGGAAACACTGACAGAATTTGAGCTATACCAGAACCAGTAAGTTACTGCTTTAAATGGGTTGGAATGATGAGGTTGTTAAATTGGAACACCTTTATGAATGCGACACGCTGATGACAGTTGCTGGAGGTTTTGGCAGCAAGAACTAGGTCTAGCTGAAGAGAATTGTTACTCGAGAGTGTGGGGGAGAGCCCTGTGGCCAGAGAGATCTCTCTGGAGGACTTACATGGCTAATTTGCACGCCAGTGTTTGTCAGCGAGAATGGACCTGGGGTTTTGGTGACAGGCAGGCAGTACAGCAGGTGAAATCTCTGTGAAGAGCCTCCTCCGTTACATACTGGTTTCGGATGCCAGAATTGCATCTCCTTGCACTGGTGTCTGTGCAGGAATTGGGGTGGCCTTGCACTCTTCCCATTATAGATCAAAATCTGTACACATGCTCAAGTTGGGCTTTTTGAACAGATTTGTAGTTGCCAGTGCTGCTCGCTTACCAAGAAGACAGATCAGAAATTCCACAGATACACATTTTAAATGAAAAGTTGTAGTGATTACTGTGTCAGTCATAGGGTTTTTCCTTGTTGCTGTTTTTCTATCAGGAGAAGTTGCTAAATTTCCTAAAGTTGTTTTATTCTGAGTAATTATTCCGGGTGTGATACTGAGGAATCTGAAAGATGTAAATTTGTATATAATTTTAGAAGTGCAATGTTTTGTTTTCATAGACTATCATCTATTGATGTACAAAGTTTGATACCTTCTGATTTTTTATTTTTTTTAATGTTTTTGTGAAAGCAATCTAGGTACACTTCAAGGAGATTTTTTTAAGTCTAAAAGACACTCAAAGATGAGTAACAGTTACTGTTCTCAAAACCACTGTATACTTATGGACCTCAGCAAAAATCACATCTATGTACCTGATAATGTAAACCTGAGAGGGGCGAACATGCAGTGAACGAACAAGGATAAGTAATTCTGTAAAACACAGGTCTCTTGAAGAGTTTTTTCAATGTAAGTTGGCAAGTAATGATCACCACTAATACCGGAACAACTTCCTTACATCAGTGGGTTGGTGATCTGTTTGATTACAAAACTTCTGGCTTAAAACTGGTCAACTGAATCACAAGAATTCTGTGAACTGTTAAGCAAAAGCCAACCAATTAACACTGTTAACTGTTTTTAGTGTGCACACAGTCATCTGAAATGAGATTCTCCAGTGTTCAGCTTTGTCTGAACAGTGAAGAACCGGAGTGTGTGCCTCAACCTTCTGACACCATTTCCAATCTCTTTGTGTCTTCATTCAGCAGCACTCTTCCCTGCTGTGACTAGTAGACGTGAGGGCATTTCTGTCTTGTATTGCCTTTGTGTGCTTATTAAAAAAGAATCAGCAAATCTGTTGAGTGCATGTTTAATGTAACACAGATGTGGGCACACCACCGTTGATTCTGCTTTAAAAATCTTCAGCTTTTTGTATTTCATCAGTGTTGCTTATTATTTACAGAATGTAACTTGAGACAGTAGAACAAATTTTTAGATTAAAAAAATCAAGTTGTGTGGAATGTTTTTAGCTGTCCAGACCAAACAGACCAGTTTGCCAAGGGGTGATGGACTAAATCAGTGCAACTTATGCTAGCACTAGTGGCACTTAGTTGAAAAGCAGCTGACCTTCTTAACACCGAGACGAGAATTATCTTTTATAACCAGGATGAACATTTTAGCACAGAGGAGCAGTGAAGACAGTAAGGACTGTACTTCCTCCATTTAAAAACAAAAACAAAGCCTAAAACCAACCACAACCGAACCCACAACTCGAAAATTGCCAAGTCTTCCAGAAATTCATTGTGGTGCCTAGTACTTTTGTAGTAATAGTACTTTATCTCTGACCTGCTTCTAAGCCAGACCTGCTTCTAACCCAGTGTTCACTGATGTTTCTATGGAATAGGTCTGATTAAAAGGCCCTATTCTTTCCTCATTTTTACAGCAGTCTTCCTTGCAATACTTAGATACCTCTTCTCACGGTACTACAGAGTATTAGAGAAAATAGCACAGTTGAACGTTTATCTGAAAGATGGTTAATCTAAAAACCATTATGCAGTGGTGTTGTTCACTCCCATATGGATGGTTATCTAACTTTCCTGAATGCATAATAGGAAGGTGTCTCAGTAAAAAGTTATTGATTGGCCAGTCGTTAATTAAAAACTACATTATGCTTCAGACATTCACTCTTTAAACTTGTCAATAGAAGTTACGGGTGCTGTAGAGAGGTTTAACAGCCAATGGGGGTTTCCTGGTTAAGTGAAATTTTGCCATTTTACTGCTTTTGGAAGTTAGGAAGTAGGACAAGCAGCAAGATGTGAATTACACTGGTTGGAACCCTTTAATTTAACTTTGCCTCAACATTTTGTATTTCATGAAGACGAACGCATACTTCTGTTTACTACTTTGTAAGAATCTAATATGTAAAAACAGGCACTTATTTGTTCACCTGGTGTAAGTTCAGAAAGATAATAATACTGTCATACAGCTGTACCTGGTACAGATGAATCCTGTTTATATCTAAAAAATCTAACAGGCAGGAGAGGCGACTTGCTCCAGAGTCATAGTATTTAATAGTGAAGTTCTGACTGCTGTACGCAGCTGTTATTCAGTGGAATAATTTTAAGTCATATATAGGTTGTGGAAGTCGTCTCTTTACCTAGTGTTTAGGTTATTCTGATTCGGAGAAATGCTACCAATGGAAGAATACAGTTTTAAGACATTGCACTTTTTGTAGATGAGGAAAACAAACTACCTTTATGTAGCAAATTCCAATTTTCATACTGGCATTTTTTAGCTTGGATGCGTAACACTGTAATTAACTAATGAATGTCTAACCAAAAGTGAAAGCAGGGCAGCAGGACAGGTAAAGCAGTGAGAACATCTGTCAGCAGAAGTAAAACTGAGTATTTGACTGTTAACGTTTTACTGGCACTTTTAACGATAACATTTGTTAAGGTTTCTTAAGCCCCTGCTCTGTTTCACATTCTTTTAGTTGGAGAATTTCTACTCTTCGTTTCATCCTTCCTGCTGACAAACTGACTTTCCATCTTCACATAACCATAGTTCAGCTGAAGTGAAGTCAAGAGCTTTTTGTCTTCTGAAGTTTCTCTCAAAGAGGAGCAGTGACAAGCAGTACTTCTGAGCCTCAGTAATTTGTTATGCAGGTCCAGGGATGTAATAATCTCATGAACAAAATCAGAACTTACCAGCTAGTCATCATATATTAAAAATATAAATTGGCTGATGTTTTTCTCTGCTGTGCTGGAAAGCAAGTTATCTTTGGCTTCTATACCTTGTATGCAAAATACATTGTTGATACCAGACAGAGCAACACTAGCCAAAGCACACCGAGAGGCCAATCACCCAATGGGAGAGCAGCAAAGATGATACTAAGTCATGAATAACATGTAAGAGATTCTATTCTAGTAACATTTAGTGCAGCCAAGAAGGGAAGGGACAAAAAAAAAGTATGTCTGTCAACATTAAAAGGCCAGGATGTCAAAGACTTGAAGGAAAAAAGAGTTTTAAAAGGGTGCATGGGTTTCAAGTCTGGGACAGGACTGGTGAAAGGGAAAGGTAACGGAGGAACAAGGCTCCAGAGAAAACATCTGCAGAAAGTAAAGTTTAGAAGGCAAGTACTCTTGTGTGCTATTGCCAAGCAGCTTAAAAAGAAAACGCGTTGTTACATGGGATTTTTTTCCTGTCTTTTGATCAAAAAGGATAGAAGCAGTTCATTGTACAGGATCTTTACAAAGAGTCAAGATGGGAAGTGGAGAGTACTAATCACAAATGGTGTATTTGGCTTGGAAAATTAGTAACAGCAGTAGCCTGAAAGAGATATGAAAAAGCATGCAGCAGACCCAGAGTGATGCTGTTGGGAAAGGACAGAGAATAAAGCAGGGCTAGGCAGCCTGTAACACAATTCTTCAGGGGTAGGGCGTTCCAAAAGCTTAACGGAATTCAGAATATTATTTTTTAACAAAATACTGCTAAGGGAGGAACCAAGCATGCAGTTCTTTAGCACTGTGGCCAGTATCAACCTCTGATGTCTGTTAGGCCACACGTGTCTTTTTTATTATTGTCATTTTTTAATAGACGCTCAAGAAAGGTAAAGTATGCTAAATCTTACTATGGAGACTCTATCTAACCATGGATTTTTCTTTTGTCTTGTCTTAACTGCGTGTTCCTATTTCTGTAACCCTTCAATTTTCAAACTACTGACACTGTCCATCAATGTGAGCTCTATCTAGGCTGATGCAGTCTTATTTTCTGTAGAGAGGTGAGAAGAAACAGTCAAATCAGTAAAACTCTGCTGGTAAATAGATCCCAAAATCACAGACAGTATCCTCAGTTCAGGCTGCTTCTTACTGTTAATTTAGCACATTGCCCCTTAATTGTAGAAGAAAACTGGGAGATGTTTCTTTGACATGTAAAACCGTATGAATAGACACCATGTCTTCCAGAGCAAGTATTAGAGAATCTGTATGCTGTATTTGTGAAGACCTTGTGTTTTTAAAGGCTTTGTTACTCCTCATACTTCAAATAAAACTTTGTGTGCTGACAGGTTTAAGTGGAAGGAAAAGCGCTGCTGTTGCACTAAGTCATTTTTCTGCATCCATTTTGCATGTAGGACACAAGCAGAGAGAGTGAGGAAGCCACGCTGCTGTAGAGGACCTCAAGGGCTCTTGCCCCGCTATTTAGAAAGTCAAGCGGAAGGACAAGAACAGCTGTTCAAACTGACTGACAACATCCAAGATGAGTTGTAAGTACTGACTTAAGCAGTTACTTTAAGTAGTTCTGTTTGCTGCCATTGTATCTTCATGTCTTTGGGGAAGAGGGACTAAAACTGTTTTATATACACACACATGCATGAACATACATTTTGTTTGTTTTCTTATGGTACCAATTAGTAGCACAGCATGAGTACCTGATGACTTACAAAGTGGCCTGTCTGCTGGTCATAGACAAACATCATTACAGGTGCCACAGGGCTCCTTTGGTTCACTTGTTGCTAACTGCCATTGATCACACATCACACACAGGCTGTGGAAGAACTGGAGCCTTGGTCTGTTGACTCCGGCTCCTATTAATGTCCCTGATTGCCTTCAATCATTACAAAAGATGAAATCTTAGTAAGTTTCTAAGTAATCAATAATCCATTTAACATACATGTCCAACCCTCCATGTGCATTGATAAAACAAGTGCATGTTTAAAGCCTATAGTCGTCTTCCTCTGTAACATCCATACAGGCAGAACTAGTATCTCTTCCCTTATCTGTCCCTTATCTACCATTTCTCACAGCCCAAAGCCTAGGGAGTGGCTAGTGATTCCGTGACAGCAATATGTGAACGACCACTGACAGGCACTCTGAGGTGGCTCTGGTTTAGATTTGAGAGAAGCTAACTTGGATGCCTGTGGTACATGTTATTCCTAAGCTATGGCTGTTAACAATTAATGACCAAAATAACCTGCAAAATGTATTTTTCTCCAGAAAAGTCAATACTGAATAATTTGAATCACTAAAGGACATCTATGTTTGAATGCCCTGGATATGGGTTCATGAAAGCAAGTGAAAACAGTGTATAAATGTTACTAGTGGTCAGGTTTGAGAGCATGAAAAAAAATGGATACAGAGTGAACGCATGGAAAGATAGCTGTACATTTGTTTCTGCCCCTGAAACTCAGCACTGGTGAGGCCACACCTTTAATACTGTATTCAGTTTTGGGCCCCTCGCTACAAGAAAGCCATTGAGGTGCTGGAGCGTGTCCAAAGAAGGGCAGTGAAGCTGGTGAAGGGTCTAGAGCACAAGTCTTATGAAGAGCGGCTGAGGGAACCTGGAGAAAAGCAGGCTGAGGGGAGACCTTATCACTCTCTACAACTACCTGAAAGGGGGTTGTAGTGAGGGGGTGCTGGTCTCTTCTGTCAGGTGGCTGGAGATGGGACGAGACGAAATGGCCTCAAGTTGCAGCAAGGGAAGTTTAGGTTGGATATTAGGAAAAATTTCTTTACTGAAAGGGTTGTCAGGTATTCGAACAGGCTGCCCAGCGAAGTGGTGGAGTCACCATCCCCGGAGGTACTCAAAAAGCATGTAGACAAGGCACTTCAGAACGTGGTTTAGTGGGCATGGTTGATGGTTGGACTCGATGATCTTGAAGGTCTTTTCCAACCTAAATGATTCTACGATCTTAAAGGTTTTTTCTGACCTAAAGAATGCTATGATTCTACAGGAGGTGTCAGTTTGTTGGATTGGGGTCTTAAGACATAATTCATTACTTAACCCAATCTCTACCAGTTACCTGAACAGCTGTTTTCAGTGGAGAGTGTAAGATACTGTGTTTTGCATCTACCACCCATCAAGAGTATCTGCCAAGGCAAAGCAGTTAAAATGGCTGATGGTGAAGCTTGTAGAGGGAGGTACCAATTCAGCAGGGTATCTTAATTTCACCAGTGTCAATGATCAGGCTCTGAAAGCCATGTACCACTCTAGGATCTACCCTCGGTTGCCTGTAAGGAAGTTTGTATTCTGCCACTTGCTTGTGGCCCTGTGATCTTACGCTCTTGTTATCCCGTTTTCATCTCATTTAAGGGCCTTTATCCATATGCAGTCTGGCTCTTAGGGAGAATTGAAAGAGAGCAATTTGTGACCAAAATATTGTCAGCTTTTTCCAAGTGTACCCCATAAGCAGATCAGTGGGCTTTTGTCAAGTCACACTGTTCATTCACTGTGACTTTCACCATTAGGAACATCATTCAACAAGAAAACAGTGTTTCTTGTCATGGAAAATAAGTGCAAAATTATGCCTCTGACTTTTATCCTAGTATCATAATCAGAAACACATTTAAAGACCTGATTATTTGCATATTTTCCTTCAGAGTTAAACCCATAAAAGGGGGTTTAATACCTTGCTCTACTGTTCTAACTAAATGTTTCCACATTTTTTTCCAGTTAGGCTCACTGTTTCACTTCTGGAAAATATTGTGTAATTACTTCCTGATGTTGTTAAAAAACCCACAAATTCTCCAGAGATCTGGTTGCTTCTACTTTGTTCTACTGGATCATGTTTCATTTAATTTTTCATTTTATTAATTTGAGATCTTTTTAATAGTGTAGAAGTATGGGTCTAAAAAAAAAGTAGTACCTTCAAGTAGTATCTTAAAAGGTTAAATACCCATTTTGAGAACTAGACACTGAGAAGAAAGTAACACTTGGCAAGAGAAAATGGGTAATGATGCATGACTCAAACTTAGAACAAAATGTAGAGCTTGAACTACAAATTAGCTAATGTTTCTTTGCTTCACCATTAAATCACTGTCCTCTCTTTCCATTCCTCAAAATACATACATGACACCAGTAAAAATCTTGTATGGAAAATTAAGATATATAATCTGTTGTTCTTGTGCAGAAAATACAAACCTGTAGTCTGATTACCTAATTGCTTCCACTGAACTTTACAGTAGCTTTTAGTCCTTCAGTTCTCTCCATGGATGCCCCCATACAGCGGGCTGTAATACCATACATCAGGAAAACAGCTGTTCTGCTTTTGTGGGTGTACAAAACCTTCTCAAGTTTCTCAACTTTGCTGTGACAATTGCAAAGGACAGTGCCACAGTATTAGGGGTTTCTGATAATTGCCTTCTAATCTTCTTTCCCCGCTGGAAAAGCAGCAAAGAAAGCCAGTGTGCCAGCAAGTTTCCTCTGGTTCCGCTTCTAGTGGAAGTCTGACCTGAGTCAAAGCTAGGGTCTCTGTAAAATACTGTACTTGCTTTTATGTGCCTGTTCTAAGCAAAAAGGCTATTATTCTGCAGGCTATAATGCTGCTCTATTTTAAAATTGTTTTCTATGACACTTCATAAAAAATATTCCTCTCCATCCTAATTAACTTATTTCAAAGACAAAACCTTACCCTGAAGTGTTTGAACTCTGATGGAAAACTGAGAGGCAATTGCTAGTTTCAGTAACTGTTAACATTGTCTTTCACCTAGGTTTTCTGAAGCTGAAATACACATTTTTGTCCAATTGTTTTACTTAAAGGAACACAATTCAATTATCCTATCCTGTAGTTTCACCCAAGGTTAGAGCTGGGCAAAGTGCATTGCAGGCCTTTTTTTTAATAGGATGGCTGTGCTCTTTTTAGCACTTACTTAAACAAAAATGTAAGCTGTTAACTTGAGTAAGCATGTATGCCTTTCTCAAGTTTATGGAAGCAAGAGCATTTGTCAGCTGACATGGCTAGGAGGCACAGGGCAGAGAAAAGACAAGTTCAGTGCAGAATACCATCTTTCAGAGGACTATTAATAGAAAATTACTGGAACTATTCTTTTATATTCTTTTTTATTCTTTTATAAAAAGAAACAGTGATCTGACCTCGTGAAATATTTTTGGTTATTAAAATTCTATTTATAGCTATGGGTTTATTTGCATATAGCTCAAGAGTATTTGTGCAAAGTGTTACTTAAATGGTAGAGCTGACAGTGGTGTTGGAGACGGTAAGCTTTTCTGATCTACCAAAAACTCTCAGGACTGACAATTTTCCTTGATTTCAGAGACAGTGGAGTATTTTGCAGGATGTATTAGGACACCAGCAGACGCATTTGTACAAGCAATCGTTCAGAAAACAGTAATTTCGAACCTACCTGAGAGCTTGAGAATCATAGTTTTACAGATACGCTTCTACTGCTGCTGGTTGTTAACAGAGCATAATTACTCTATTTAGCACCTTTTCTTAGATAGGATTTTGTATTTAATTTTCTGAGTTTTTCAGCATTTTAAGAAAACCACTAATGAGGTTCATTTCAGTAGTAAATCAGAAGTGGGGGAGAAGTGTTTCTGTGTAAAATATCTTACTTCACTTTGGCATTCCTTACTGCTATTTTTTACCCATCAACCTTTTAAGCCATCGTAATTCTCAATATTCTTAACTCACTCTTTCTACCTCTACTATTCATCACTCAGACTAATCTCTCTGGGGAAACCTGCTTGCTGCTTAACCTTTCACCCCTGTGTTAAACAGCTAATTTCTCTTTTCTAGCTACTGATCCAGGCAGCAGGTTAAACTTTTTGTTTTCAAAGGCAAGGGAGGTGTGTGGTAAAAGAAGGCACAGTAGGTTTACAGTGTGTAGTAGGATAATGCTCTTGTCAAAAATGTCTGCAAACCTTTCATATATCAGCAATGGAACTGAACTTAAAATTAAACAAGTATTAGGACGTGTGGTGTTCCAATGCAAGGAAATTACTCTTCTTAAGCCTTGTTAAAGGATATTTTTATATGCCCTTTTAATGTCCAAAGCTAGAAGCCAGGCATTTAGCACTAATATTTGATTTACAGCATGATCTTTTTTAACTGGGTGAGAGGGTACTTCATCAGCTTAATTTTTAGAACAGTTTAAATTAAATACAGATGAATTGTATGTGTTACACTATTAATTTTTCTGAAAGACTTCTAAAGGTCACTCAAAACGTAACAGGTGAAGACATTTGTTAGTTTACTATTTTTAGATTCAAGTGAATAATTTTTCTTTTTTTCTTTTTTGCAGCTTCATAGCAGTGGAAAACATAGACAGCTATTGCGTTCTCATTTCATCAAAAGCTGTTTATTTCCTCAAGAGTGGTGATTACACAGATCGCGAGGCCATCTTCCTAGAAGTCAAGTATGATGATCTCTACCACTGCCTTGTTTCAAAAGACCACGGGAACATGTATATACAGTTGACGAAGAAAGCTGTTAATACAAGTAGTGGTGTAGCAATGCCAGGCCCATCACAACAAAAACCGATGGTAAGGATCTAGCACCTATTGTTTCATTCTTTTCCCCTTTATGCGTGTCCTGGTGCTGAAAGTGTTGTAGTTATTAGTGTTCCGTTCCCTGTGCTGCGTAACAGTGAAAACTTTGTTCTGTCAGCAGTGAAAATAGCTGCTGCAGAAAAGGCTTAGGTGACAATAGAACTTGCTCCCTAAACTCCTGAGAAAAGCTGAAGGCAAAACCTAAAATACTCTGGCAGGCAGTAACGTTACAGTAGGAAATGTGTATTTACCTGAGAAAGGCTTTTAACTTTACAATGCATACATGAAACTTAAGTTCTATTTATTCTAGTCTTCTCATCCTATACATGGTATTTTTTTTACTGCAAGGTATCTAAGATTGGAAAGAGTATTTCTGTCATGCATGTAAAAGTTTATCAGAACTCTCACTTGTAAAACCCATTAGAGGGTTTTTTTGCTTCATTACAGTAGTTGCTCGGGGGTCTGTTTTACAGGCAAGGTTATAAGCTCACCCCTGACCCAAGTGAGTTTACATTCCAAACAGATAAACCAGATAAAAGGTAGGAGGGGAAGCAAAGGAAGTAACTTCAAATATTGCAAGATGTTTCTGTTCTCATCCTAAAATAACTGTCTCTCTTTACCTGTCCCTCCTCCTCTCACTTCTTTATTTCAGCCTCAGCACTGAGAAGAAATCTTCACTGAAACATTTCTGTTCCTTACAGGAGACTTCAAAGCTAATCCTTTCAGTTAGTGAAATGATAACAAACAAATACATTCTGCTTTAGATGACAGCAGTACCACATTAAGAAAAATCACATTTCTTTTTGCAGGTGAAAGTGAAATCTGAAGTTCTTGCAGTAAAGCTATCTCAAGAAATAAACTATGCAAAGAGCCTTTATTACGAACAACAGCTTATGTTAAGACTCAGTGAAAATCAAGAACAATTAGAGCTGGACTCTTGAAACCTCTTCCTTACTGCCAGAGTGAATTGCAAGTATCAGCCTGGAGCCAATGGTATTCTGTAACTAGAGAAAGTACTACGTGGGAAGGAAATAATTTTAGTTTTTAGCTAAATGGAATCATTGTGCATAAGAAAACAAGGTGGGCTTTTTTTTTTTTTTTAAGCATTAGTTGTGTAACAAACATATAGCTGAAATGCATTTGGTTCTGGGAGAAGCCCTGTATTTTGCTAACATGTACATATGTAAAAGTGTTTCATGTAAATAAGAAAGTACAGACTGGGGTGTTGGTATAAACAGAAGTCTGTTTACTGTGTAAAGAAATTAAAGGAGCTATACTGAGTCTCACTGCACTACCTGAACCTAGCCATTCTCTCTCCTTTTTTTCCTTGAAGAAGCTGATTTTTCACAGTCCAGGAATGTAGATGAAAGTTTAAAAAAAAAAAATATTAGGATTTAATTGTAGCTGTTGTTGGAGCACAGACATCCTGTATTTTGGAGCTTTAACACTGTGATCAGGGTGCATTGTTCGGGGTTGTTCGTTGGGGTTGGTTTTGGTTTTTTCTTAAATCACTAGTACAGCTAAATGTAGGCATACCTAGTGTTCCGCTGAAATTTCATCCTCATTTTTAACAAAAATAATTGCATTCTGTTAAATATTGCAGTGAGGACTCACTAATTCAATTACATTTCCAAAATATTAGAAAACAAGTAGCTGATTCTGTTCTGAATACAGCACTCAAACCTAGCAAAGTCTGTATCTCTGAAGGCCCCTGCTTCTAAGTTGTTTTTAAAGTTAAGTGAGTGGCCTTGGAAATGGAAAACAAGTTTAAAGTTCTTTCCTTCACTCAGACTGAGTAAGCGTGTATAGTTGGCCAGTTAGTGTGGACTTCTGCTAGCATTGGAAATGCTGGGAGGAGAGGAAATCACTGCATTATTTGTCTTAACAACAACCTCTTCAAAATTAAACTTCTTGAAATAATAAAAACAACATGCTTTTTCAAATGTTGTACATCAAATCAGTATTTGTCTCATCAACTTTAACCAAGCTGAAAATTGAGGAAGGAGTGTACTTACAAACCTTTATTCACAGAAACTAGGAGATCTCATTTTCATGTTTGCTCCCTTGAGATAGCTCAGCAACTGTGCTGAATGGCTGCATGCACTACGGCATTTTGCCATGCAAGGTTTATGTGTGAATATAGAACTTTACTGAAACTGCTGAATAACCTATGTTCTAAAAGTGTTACTTCGTAAACCTTTGACTAAAAGTAAGGAGACCACTATAGCTTTACTATCAACTTAGTTTACCTTTTAATATCCTTTCATAAAGGCATACAGGAATATTTTTAAACTGAAGGTTAGAATTAAACCAGTTCTCAACTCCTGTAAAGTGAAAGGCAGAGGATTATTGCATAAGGAGAAAACATGGTATCAGTTGATGTGTGTATGGTCTGTGACTGGAAATCAAAATCCATAAAGGTCCATTACGCAAATGAAACTGATTTAATGCATCACTTTTGTATATTTCTCTGTATAATTTTTAAGTAAAATGTAGAATTCAACAAGTGCATTGGCTCAACAGTGCTTTAACATGTCAGTCCTGTTGGACTCTGCTACCACGACTCCCTGCTTCTCTCCCCTGTAAAGTTCTTTTTTAATGCAGCAAATATCTAGCTGCTAAAGATGGTAAGTAGATGGGGAAGGAAAATAAAAAGTAGTTCACTGCTCTCGGTTGAGAATTTACAGGAGAATGGCTTGAATACTTAAGTTTTGTAACAATTATACAAGGAGCTGACATGCAAGCACCTGAAAAAGTAGTTTGATAGTACACCCTCTGAGGTATCTGAACACAGGGAGCCACAGTAGGTAATTGATCTAATTTGTGTGTTTATTTCTTTTGGACTATGCTTAACCTGTTGACTGTTGATAATGATTAAACAGAACATTATTTAAACCTTTGAAAAGTGTACCTACTAGCCTAGATGTGTATGAATACCATGGACCATAACTGGCTGAGGTTATTCCAGTATGATACCATAGTGTTCCTGATACTGTGCTCCTCTTGAGTATGGTGGCTGAAGTTGCTCACTCATCTATAGGCAAGGCCAAATTTTCTCCTAAGGGTACATACACAGTGCTGATTACTAGGAGTGATGTACAGACATAGCTGAAAGAAGCATATTGCCTCATTTAGCATTCCAAAATAAATTGAATCAGAACTTTTTTTTTTTAAGTGCAAATGATGTTATTTATTGCTGTAACCCAACTATTTTTATATAATTTCAGAACTCTTACTGTGGACTTCCTATTGCTATTGGCACCACTAACATTATTACTCAGTGAATAAATATAACTCAGATTACAGGAGCCATACTCAAAAATAGTTTTCAGAGGATGGGGAGAGTAAGTGCAAGTCTCCAGCTTTCACTCAAATTCTTAACAACTAACTCAAACACAAGCTGTAAGCAGACAAGACAACAGAATAGTGCTATTTACCAAATTCTGCACTGTTCTTCAGATTATGAGCCTTATGAAGACAGTATACTTACCACACTTAGCCTGGTTTCATTGGAGGAGGTGTGACTGCTGCAGCAATGAAAGCAGATTCACTTTTCACATTTCAGAAGCTGGGGAGGAAGAAAATTCACTGATGAGAGACAACACTAACACAGCTTTCTCCCCCTGCTCACTGTCTTTAGCACTTAGCCAGTACAACTCAGGGAAGACAATGCTTTTTCATGCCTCTGCTCAAGTCTTTTTAAAAAGTTGTTCACCTTCACCCTCTAATAAAGATTAAATGATATATCAACAATGCAGGTAGTAGTTCAAAAATTCTATAGCCCATGCAGTGATATGCTGAGGTAGAAATACTTTGCTTCAGCCTATTAGCTTTGATTTTACCTATATTTTGCTGAGAACTGTACAACTTCTCTGCCTACCCTGACCAACTTTGTTTTGTTGCTGGAGTTGCTACTGAAGAAATGTAAAATAAAGATTATTGACATAAGAGTTATTTCACAGTAATTCTGGAGAAGTGCAATAAATTTATTCCACCCACACTCTTCCTGTGCCCTTGCTTGCAAAACCATTAATTATGTGCAGGAATAGAAAATTACTGTAGATGACAGGAATGAGTAATTCTCCAACTTAGACATGTGCTTCTTGGAGTGGCAGAACAGCCCTCAAGACTGTTCTTACATCACACAATTCTGATGTTGGAGGTAAAACTTGGACAACCCCCTGGAACGTTGGTTGTCACTGCAGGTCAAACCCAGACTTACACTGCATTTCTCTGACCCAGACACTGAGATAATTATGTCTGAGAGTCTAATTTTCAAAAAGTCGTTTAAGAGTGAGAAATCAAGATGCTAAGTTACTTAAACTTAGAAAAAAAGCACATCTTGTAAAATAAAATCCAGGCGTCTTGCTTACACATCAGATAACCAGCAGGGCTGATATTTAAATGCTTCTGTGTGATAGTAGCACCTCAGAGTACACGTCACCTACCCAAGCTATACAATGCCAGAGTTAAGTCAAACAATACACTTTCAAAAAACCAGCACTTTACGTATTAATATAATTTTATAGGGGAAAAATGCATCCTAATTATTTCTAGCACTTATCCAGACTCATGTGTTCTGCTGTCACTAAAACAAGACAGATTTGTCACTGCATTAGGTAAGCAAGTTTTTAATGTGCAAGATATGCAGAACCCCACAGATGGCGATGTCATTTTATTCTAGAAGCAATTCTGGACAAGCAGAACTACAAAAGTCCTTTCTGTTCTGACCTAAGTCCACAGCTGTGGCTGCAAACTTCTGTTTTGCTGCCCTGTATCTGACAAAGCAATCAAAACACAGAGAATTACTATTTTGGATCATATTGGTTTAAGCTCTATGATGCACTCATCGCTAACAGGAGTGTGACAAGGCCAGTAAGAGACGTTTTTGCTAAGGAAACAGTATTACTGGTAAACAAGCTGGTAACGCAGAATTATAAAGATACAGGGAACATCTGCATAATATGGCTGCTAAAAGAGGCAAACCCCACACCACTCACCAACAGATGATTTTTGTAACCAAATTTAATTCCTGGAGACGGTCCTCAGCTGGTAGCAGGATCTAGCACAGTACAGGTGGGATGAGAAGATAAGGTGTCCGCCTGCTTGCTGCCTCTGGAAGAAGAGAAATTAATCAATCACTTTCTGAAGTCACAGAACAAACTGGAAAAAAAGTTCATTAACTTTTAGATACTTTACTCAAACCAGGGGTGAGGTTCTACATGTACTTATGTATCTTACTAACTATGGTATGATCAGGCTGAAAACAGACTTTTTGTTATAGTCATTACTAGATCATAAACAATTCTGTTACCTACTTAAACTTAGCCATTTATAACTAAAGTCTAGGCAGTGCAACAGGAAATACAAAATGAGGTATGCCTGAAATGAGGTAAACAGCATGCAAGAGGTGACCAACATCTTTCCCTTCCTTCTGCTCCTGACTAGATTTCCAATAAATCAGCTAGATAATATTTACTAGCTGAACAGCTTGTCATGAATGCTGTTTACCAAAAAAGTGCAGTGCTTACATTTTTGTGGAGAGAATTTAAGTGGCTAAATGGTCCACATCTCAAAACAGAAAAATAATCATCACATTTCCCTATGACAAGGTGGTTTTGATCTATGTGCTATCCCATTTCCTAGACTGCATGCTGGTTTTCAGCATTTATCTATTTTCTCACCAATAGAATACTTGCACTTTCTAGGATCCTAGGCCAACTATATGTATTTTTTAACAACTTCTTTTTCTCTGTAATACAGCTTAGTACTGACCTGTTTTCTACAGCATGCAAACCACTAGATGATGACTCCTCTAGGAATAACCTTGCTTGCTCTGCTTCTCTTCTGAGAAGAATGTGCCTCTATTTGCTAATCACAATTTCACCTCTGGTACCTGACTCTGAAAAAGCAGGTTTGGAGGAGTATACTCTCTTCAGGTTACAGGCTGCTGCAAAGACACTAAAAAAAAAAAAACAAACCACCAAACAAAAAAATACATTTTAATTAAGTCAACAGTTGCTCAAAATGCACTTACACAACTTGGTTTCTTACAAAGAATAACACTTTGTGTGTGTATGCTTAAATACTTCTTTTTTAATATATACACCACCACCCCCCAAATGTATGTATATACATCCATACTCATACTTTTTTTTTTTTTTAACTTGTGTTGAAAAGTGGTGGCCATACTCCAAACTCCTTTATTCTTAAAAGTATGGTTCTTAGAAAGAAGGAACACATAGTCTTATTTTTCGGGGGGGGG